CCGCTCCCCACCCTACTCCCTTACCTGACTGGTTCCGGCAGAAAGCAGTGGCGACCAGCCTCAGGTCATTTCATTTTTATCTGTTGCCCTTACAGATTGTATTAGAAACCTTAAAAAAAAACCCTGGAAAGTCGCTCAACAGTAAATGATTGCTTAAAAAGTTAAAAGACAACGTCCACCTAACTGGTTTTCACGAATTATCTATTCGCAGTATTCAGGACGATAAGAAATTCTCTTTGTGGGGCTGGAGAGATGGCTCAGGGTTTAAGAGCACTGACTACTCTCGCAGAGGACCCGGGTTCGATTCCCAGCACCCACATGGTGGCTACGAACCGTCCTTAACTCCAGTTCCAGGGGAATCTGAAGCTCTCTTCTGACGTCCGCGGTATTGCACGACACGGGTGCACTCACATACATGCAAGCAATACACTCATACACATAAAATTAAAAAAATAATATTTTTAAAAATTTTCTTTGCCAAATTTTCCTAACATTAACATATCACCGAAGTAGTCTGAGCCCGAGTTTTACAAATGAGAAAACCAAGGGTCCCCCTCCCCAGTGTTAACTGTAGACCATACCTACTGGTGACCTTAGAGACTCAGCAATAAGTAAAGCAGAGGGAAGCCACTAAGCAAGCTACTGCAAGAGTCCCGTACCCCTATCATTTGGACCAATGATTCTAAGAGTTTGATTCTGAGATATGGACTAGCTGCCTCTAATAGTAAATTAGGAAACTAAAGCTGGGAGAACAGAAGGGTAGGTTACATCATATAGTTCCAAATAAGGAGTTACTCCCTTACCTTCCTCTATGTGGTAAGGTAGCATCTTGACCACTGTTGATCATGCTCTTTCCTCTTCTATGGCTTTCAACAGCCTGTGCCCACCTCTGCCAGCTCTTTCCAGCCAGTAAGTCTGCTGTTTAGAAGTATGCCCCCTATGGTGATCTTCCAAGATCACTCAACCAATGAGAAAAGGGCCCTACTACTACTCATGCAGAGCTCTAGAAATTCTGTATAAGGAGCTCTCAGTAAGGCATGAGAGACAAATGGCCATAGTACTAAGTTTAAGTTCTATTACAAGAACAACCACAGATGAGGAGAGGCATTAGAGCCAATTCAGACCTTTCATCCTGGGACTTTGAGAAGTATTAATGGCGTGGAAACAGGAATCCAGAAGTCCCACCAGCCCAGCCTCACTCCTGCCGCTTGTCCCCAGGCAAAACAAGAACCACAAACCCTAGCTTCCTCTCACAGAGGCTGTGGCTTGGAGGAGAGGGAAATGACAGAGGTGTGAATTCAAGACCTGAGTCACTAGGGCTGCAGTTGCCACATGCCTCCTCCCCCATACCAAATTCTGAGGTCTCCTGCTTCCACTGTTTTCTTTCTGGTTGGATTGTCTACCCTTTAGCTCCAGATATGTACCTGAGTCCCTGGAAGCTGCACAACCATTTCCCTGCCTGTCATGAAGTTAGTCATGACCATGGGGGAGGTGCATAGGGCCTGGGGTGGAGATGCCTCAGGGAGAGACAGGGGAAGAGGAAGTGTCTTGGGTCTTGGGGAGGACTACCTTGCATTGGTGGGTGGGGACGGTCATTGTGAGCTTTCTGGACACAACTGAGACCTACAAGATGGATTTCCTCCGGCTACACCTCCCTGGGCTGCATCAGGCGTTGAGGGGGGCACTGGTGAGAGGGGCTAAGAGATTTCCACCCATTTCCCGAGACCTGACCTTCTCTCCTCCCTTTGAGTCTCTCAGGCTGAAGGTCCCTTTCCTGTGGCCGGCCATCCTCCTAACCCAGTCTTTCTTAGATTTCAACCCCCTACCCTCACAGTGCATGCATGTACTCCAAGTTGGACCTTTTCTTCTTCCTTTAGCAGATTTGCAGATCAGATTTCTTACCTGGGCTCCTCTGGCCTAGGGCCCCCAGGGAAAGGGCCAGACCTCCCCTGAATGCCTTCACCACTTTTTCTTCTGTTCTAGGATTCCTTCAGTACTTTTGTGTCCTACCTCATAGGAGATGCGGTCCCCACGGTAGAAAGGGAGAAACAGGCAGCTGAGGAACTGGGGGAGGTGGCTACAGGAAAGCCAGGGAACACTGTGGAGGAAGAAGCCCAGGAAGCCTTGGAGTGCCTTAGAAGTGGCCAGATCGAGAGAGTGGGAGGGCCTGGAGCAATCAAAAGATGCCAGGAGAAAAGTTTAGTTGGTGAGCAGACCTGTGGGTGGAGAACAGACAGCTCCTCAAGGACCCAGACAGACAAGCAGGACACTGGGGCCAGGAAAGCAGCTGAGGGTGGTGGGGGCCAGGAGCCAAATGCCCTGTTGGATGCTGGGATGAGGTCTGAGGCAAGGCCTGAGACTCACAGAGACAGGAGCAGTAGAACCCAGGAGATATGGGAGCCTGGTGAGCAGGAAATGAACAGAGGGGAGCCTCTGACAGTCTGGGAACAGGAGAAGGAAGAGGAGGGGGAAGAGGTCTGGGCAACAGACCCAGAGATGGTCAGGGGGGTGGAGTCACAGCCAACCTGGCGCAGGGAGCTTGAGGGTAAGATTGGTATTCATGGACAGAAGGTAACAGAGGACAGCAAGGAAACAGAGTGGGTGGCCAAGGAGGGTCCTGCAGAAGCTAAGGAGCCTGGGGTCAAAGGAGCTGACAGCGAAGAAGAGAGGATGAACCTGGTTAGGAATGACCAAAGTTCAGGGGCACAGGAGGTACAGGGCCCAAGGGCAGAGTCTAAAGACTGGGCAGCCTCAGGCAGGGAGAAGGCTGACATCCTAGGAGTCCAGGAGACAGAATATTGGCCAGGCACTGAAGAAAGCATCCCAGAAGCTACTGGGAGAGTCTGGGTCCTAGAAGAGGCCTGCAAGGGAGACCAGGAAGAGGAGGTAGATGAGAAGAGAGAGGCTGAAGAAAGACTTCAGGCCCAGTCCCTGGAGCCTGAGAGAACTGAAGAGGCCGCTGAAGGCCAGACAGCTTGGAGGGAGTCTGTGGGAGACCAGGAGACAGGGGAGGGCTTTGAGGACAATGAAAGTCAAGACTCAGCCATCAGGGTTAATGGGGTGGGTCTAGAAGAAGGGATGCAGGCCGAGGAGGCTCCCAGGGAGAAAGGAGGCTACTGGGTCAAAGAGGTTTCATTAGCCCTGGTCAAGGAGGCTGAAGGTAAGCTTGATTCAGCGGCATCACCAGAAGCCAGGCCTGAGGAATTATTTATGGGCATAAGGAGTGAGGAGACTCAAACTAGGCAAAAGGTATTGATGGTGAAGGTTACCGAAGGGCAGGAGCCTGAACTGTTGGGAGGTGTGCATACCTCGACAAAGCAACCTGAGGATGGACAAGAGGGTCAGGAGACTGAGAGAGCTCCAGGCCTGAGCACAGAGGAGACACTAAGAAGCTTGGAGGAATATCCCAGCCCCATGGAGTCTCTAGGTCCTGAGGTAGAAACCTGGAGAAACTGGAGAAGGGATGTAGACAGCAGAAATACCCAGGAGGGGTATTCAGCTGATGCTGAAGTAAGGGAGGAAGAGGCTGTAGCAGGCCAGGCAGTGGAAGTCCAGACTGAACGAGGCCAGGAGTCCCAACTGCCAGAAGTCCCAGGGTGGAGAGCAGAGGAGGGACTGACCTCCATAGCTATGAACCAGGAACTGGAGGAAAGCCAGGGGTCAGAGACAGGGACAAGCCAATCACTGGGAGGATCTGAGGCCACCGAAAACAAGGCTAGTGAGGGGGAGGCTGCAGTGCCTTGGGAGATAGCTAGCACATACACAGGAGGCAGGAAGCTAGAAGAGGAAACTCTGAGCCTTCAGGACAGTGAGGATGCACAGACCAGTTCTTTGGCTGCTGAGACTATCCCGAGTGTCAGGTCTGCTGGAGCTGGGGAAGGGCCAGAATGGGAGACCGGGGTGACTTGGAAGAGGGAGTCTGGGACAGGCTGGCATTCCAAAGGCAGAGAGGAGGCTGCAGGAGGCATAGAGCTGGAGGAGGCTACAGAGAACCGAAGTGAGCAAGAGGCTGGTTTGGAGGGCTCAGCAGAGGAGGGGGTGACTGGTCACAGTGTCAAAGAAATTGGTAAGATTAGAAAGGAAGAGAAGGCAGAGGTGGGGACATCTGTAGTGGCAGAAGAAATCAGTGGTGTGACCTCAGGCTCCCAGGAAGAGAGAACAGAGGGGTTCAGAGCCACTGTGGAGACTGAAAGGCTCTTGGGAGAGCAGATGCTTTTGGAAGATGAGGCTGGGGGAGGGCAAGAGGGAGAGTGGAGGGACCATCACCTTGAGGGAGAGGCACAAAAGCTGCAAGATGTGGAGGATGTCATGAGTGAAGGCCAGAGGCCAGAGATCCAGGAGACTGATCCAGAAGGCCCGGAGGACACCCCAGGCCAGGAGAGACAGCAGAAACAACAGGTCCCTACAGTGGCTGTGCCTGGCCTCCCTGAGTCTGCTGAGGCCATGGCAAGTGCCCCAGGGGATGCTCACAACGACTGGAGTGAGGTGAGGGCTCCAGCAGAACCCAGGGAGGGACACACAGAATCTGAAACCCTGTTCCACAGTCCTCTATGTCCCCTGCCCTGCAGGCCCTGCTCCCTGGGTCCCGCCTGGATGTCTCTGTCCCTCGCAGCCGCGTGCTTCTCTCACGAAGTTCCTCACAGCGACGTTCTCGGCCCTCTTTCCACCGAACCCCTGCCCCTGAGCAGCAACACAACCCTCCCAGCCTCCAGCCCCAGCAGCTACCTCTTCAGCCAGAGGAAGCCCTAGAGGCAAGCCCTACAAGGCCTGAAGGGACTCCAGTGCCAGCCAAGAAAAAGCCCCTCGGACATGGGTAGGCACGAAAGTGATACACTGGGATGGTAAGGAGGCTGTGGGTGCCTAGGGACCAGCTCCCATGGGTCTGTTTTCCTTCTGTAGGTTTGGCCTCGCTCATTCTGGCATGATGCAGGAACTACAAGCCCGACTGAACCGGCCAAAGCCCCAGTGACTGAGTCCTGATCCCCTATGAGCCAGGCCCTGCGAGAGGGTCAGAAGTCACTGCTCGACCCTGGTCACCCTTAACCCTCTCAGCCACTGGGAACACATCTTTTTCACTCTCTGGGCCTCAGCAAAACCAGATGTTTGTAAGACCTTGAATGTAAGGAGTCTGATTTCCCAAAGAAGGCTGGTGTCCCCCGCCCTGCTGGGATACCTCTCATGGATCCTGGCCCTGACCACCTCTGCAAATTGTCTTTGCTGCTCAGAAGACTACAACAAAGACAAGGTTGGCGACTCTTCTCCTTAAATCTTCCCTCCATGACCGCCCTCCCCCATTGCCCATAATACTGGAGAACCACAGAGAGGTGTGTAAGATAACACACCTCTGAGGTGGAAGCCAGGCTAAAGAAAAGGGATTCAAAGGGCTGATAACCAGTTGGAATCAATGGCCCACGGGCTTCAGGCCAGCTGCTTTGAGTTTCCAGAATAGTAGCTCAGCCTCAGAATTCTGCTGGTTACTATTTCCTAGGAATCCCTAAGAATACAGGAGCAAAGACAGGTTCTAGGTAGCCAGAGGATGCTGACTCTATCCCAGGTTATCATAATCCTTGGGTGTCAGGCTTTCCTTTTGTGTGAAGATGCTGAGGCACAAAGGGAGTGGGAGGGCTTTATTAGGTAGCCAGCATGGTGGCCTAACTCAAGAATGAAACAATAAATAAACCATCATTTCCTAAAAAATAAATAAATATCCAAGAAATAAATATCTGGCAAGGACTGGAGGGGTTTTAAGTTATTGTGCCGGGTCTGGGGACTGGTGGAGCACTGCCTGGTCTGAGGCAAATGAGCTAGAGGCTGTCCTGTCAAAGACTCCAGTCTTAGAGTTCTAATGGGTGAGAGAAGGAAGCTAAAGGGTCACTCCATAGAGCTGGGAGGTAGACGTTAGGAATCCCAACCCGGGGCTGGGTGCCCAGCCATGGACAGCAGCAGCAGGTCCCGCACAGCCCGAGACAGGAAAAGTTCCAAGGAGTGTAGGGTCTGGTAGGTGTGGAGTAACTGGGACCAGGACACCAGAGATGACACCTGGATGGGGCCACCCAAAGTCCCTGGGAGCAGCTCCTTCCCTTCCTCTTCCTCTTCCCCTTCCTCTTCTTCCTCCTCATCCTCAGAGCAGGTGAATTCTGCAGCCAGCACCTGTGAGGAGAGACCCATAGGTCACATGGTACCACATCAAGAACCTGAGAGATTCTTCATCCTTTCTATGTGTCCACCAGCTCCTAATGGCATCAGTGACAATAAAGCCAAGATTCCTCTGGACAGTCCCTACTTCAAACCTTCCGTGGTGTCATCATCTCACTAATCTTATCTGATATTTTGTTCCTTGTTCTTTAAGACAGAGTCATGTAGCCCAGGCTGGCCTTGGATTCACAGTCCTCCTGCCTCATCAGCCTGCCAAGTGCTGCGACTACAGGAGTGTGCCACTACACTTGGCTTATCTGATTTTCTGATGCAAGAACGTGGACATGGCAGCCAGATATGGTGGTGCATGCCTTTAATTCCAGCACAGGCAAATCTCTGTGAGTTCAAGGCCAGCTTGGTCTACATAGCAAGTTCCAGGCTAGCTGAGATTACAGGGAGACCCTATCTCAAAGAGACTAAAAAGAAAAAAAAAAAAAATGGGACATAGCAGAAGAAGACAGTGCTTATAGAAATGGATTACTCCCCTAAGGCTGCCCAGGGGTCAGGGGTCGTGGTCGGGAAGTTCCTCTCTGCTGTTAAGGATTCGTTTAGGATTGGAAGAGTGACGTGACTACTTTTTGCTCTTATTTTCATTTTCTATTCTCCTTTTACTAAGGGTAAAATTTTTATTGCCCTTTGAAATGTCCAGGAGAATCTGCGTGATGTCCGAGAATTGGAGGGAGAAGGGAATGAACATGGATGTCAGACCAGAGGCTGTCCTGGGTGCCCAGGGCTTTTCTCCCTTTGGAGTCCACCCCTAAGAGCAGGCAGAGACTTGGGTGCAAAGCCAGAACCTGGTGCAGCTACTCACTCAGGCTCTGGAGTGACTTTCTAGGCTTCCCCACCCTGATTGCCAGGGGTGTTTCAAAAGGGGGCCACTGAGTCTCCACTTTGATTGTGGCTCTCTGGGGGTGAAGGGCATTGTGGGCATTCTACCTGAAAGTGAAGATGCCGCTGCAGGTCTCGGAGATCCAGCCTCATGGCCCACATCTGCATCCTCTCTGAGCTGGTCCAGGTCCCCTGACTCCCTAGCCCTTTCAGCAGGGTGTGGAAGGGCCGAAGTCTGCTGGAGAGGAAGCAGAGTCGCTCTGGGTCCTGTTGAAGAAGATGTGAATGGTCAAGAGACACCTACAGGCCACCAAAACCAGTCCCAATTCTACGTGGGTCTCTTTTTCATTCCAACTTTCATTCTATCCTCAAATTTATTCTTTTTTAAAAGTACATTTTATTTATTTGTGTGTGTGTGTGTGCACACACGTGTGTGCACATGCCATGCATGTGGTCAAAGGACATGTAGGGGTTGTTTTATCCTTCCACCAAGTGAGTCCCAGGGATTATACTTAGGTCATCAGCCTTGACAGCAAGCACCTTCATCCACTGAGCCATCTCACTGGCCCCTTGAATGTATTTTTTTCTTTTAAAAATATTTTATTTATTATTTGTGCCACGGGGGTCAGAAGAGGGCTTCGGATTCTCCAGGAACTGGAGTTAAGGGTGGTTTGTAGCTGCCATATAGGTGTTGGGAGTCAAACCTGGGTCCTCTGCAAGAACAGTCAGTGCTCTTGACTGCTGAGCCATCTCTTCAGCCCATATTTTTTTCTTTTTTTTAAAAAAAATCTTATTTAAATTTTTTAAAAAATTTTATGTGTATGAGTGCACTGTCTGTGTGTTTCTAAGTGCACCCATGTCATTCAAAGCCCACAGAGGTCAGAAGGAAGTGTGGGATCCCTTGAAACTGGTGTTACAGATGGTTGTTAGCTGCCATGTGGGTGCTGGGAACCAAACTCCAGTCCTCTGCAAGAGCAGCCAGTGCTCTTAACCTGTGAGCCATCTCTCCAGCCCCTTGAATCTTTTCTTATGCTCATCACCTCTTCCCTGTCATTGTCTTTGTGCTCCATGCGATCTCCTTCTCAGCACACACTTCTCCAACTCCAACCCCACCCTCTCCATCTGCAACCTCACGTTCCATTTCCTCCTTTGCTACCCCATTGCATTTCCAACATCTCCATCCATTTTCCCACCTCATTGCCATTCCTAACCTAAGTCCATGCCTCCTTTTCACCATCTGCACATCCTACCTCCTGCTCCACTTCCATCCCCCACTCAATTTTCACCTGTATCCCCAGCCATCCTCTCATCCCTGGCCTGACACCATTCCGGTCCCATCACCAATCCCATCCTTTTTCCATAATTACCTCCACCCCCAGTCCCACTATGCTCCCAGCCCCTCTTCTCCCCGCACCCATTCTCATTCTCATCTTCCTGACCCCATTTCCAAATGCCTGCTCCCTCTCCCTCTTTCTCTCTCTCCCCTCTCTGTCCCTCTCCTAATCTTTCTCTCTCTCAAGCTTCCCCTGTCTCTGCGTCCCAAGTTCTGGGATTACAGGTCCGTGTCACCATGCTCAGCTTCCAGCTTCACCTTTATAGCCAAAGATGTATTCAGTCTCCAGGAATCAGAATCCTCTAGATTCATCTTTCATTCAAACCTGAACTTATGTCCATGCACCATGCTTTACTGCTAGCCTCATACCCCCACTCCCAGCCCCTTACTCACAGAGAGGCGGCGCCAGGCCTGGAAGGTCAAGGACACATTGGGGAGCTGGTGACCCAGGGGCAGGAGGTCCAGGCTCACTCCTGGCAAGCGAGATTCAGCCTGCCGGGGGAAAGTCTGTTAGTGGGGGCCAGTGGAACTTGGGGGTGTCCCTGCTCCCAGACCCAACCGCATGAGGGAGACTCACAAAGCAATGGACATGGCCCTGCGCCTCAGAGAGCAGTTTCCTGGCAAGCTGCAGGCTGACTGTGAATTCCTTTCGTAGCTCCTGAGGGCTCAGAGGGGCTGTTGGGAACTGCCAGGCACCAGCTTGTACCAGAAGCAAGGGTAGTAGCAGCAGGCTGAGCCCTGGGGAGAGGAGGGAAGGGAGCAAGATGAAGGCCTTAGAACCCTAGAGAAGGAGCAGAACCAGCCTAGAAGCACTGCATGGGCATCTTCACACCACCCCCTCAGAACCACAGTGTGGACCACAGAGGTCGCCTACAGCATCATGGCACAAGTGCCCACTGTTGTACGTAGACTGTAAGCAGGCTGGATCTTGCCCTCCCGGCTGTGCTAATTCCCTTGTCAAGTCAAATGCCTTTTCCAGTGCAAAACCTGCACAACTCCATGTGGTGGCTTGGCTGCTGGTATTCTTTTTTTTTTTTAATGTACATGAGCAATTTGCCTGCATGTATGTAAATGTACCCAAGTCTTTCAACACCTGCTGAGGTCAGAAGAGGGCATCAGATTCCCTAGAACTGGAATTACAGTTGTTACCCACCATGTGGGTGCTGGGAATGGAACTGGGTCCTTTACAAAAGCAGCCAGTGCTCTTAACTGCTGAGCCATCTCCCCAACCCCTGCCCCCCTTTGCTAATATTCTGTTTTTTAAAAAAATATTTTATTTATTATTTTTATTTTATGCATATGAGTGTATTGCCTGCATGTATGTGAGTGCACCCGTGTTGTGCAGTGCTGCGGTCAGAAGAGGGCTTCGGATTCCCCTCGGAATTGGAGTTAAGGACAGTTTGTAGCCGCCATGTGGGTGCTGGGAATCGAACCCTGGTCCTCTACAAGAGCAGTCAGTGCTCTTAACCACTGAGCCATCTCTCTAGCCCCGTATTTTTTTCTGTTTTGCAGAGGAAGAATGTGAGACTCAACTAAACTGACTGGCCCAAGGTCAAACAGCTAGAGGGAGAGGTATGTAGGACTGGATTCCAGATCTGTCCAAACATAAGCTACTCTGCCTTCCCCAGGGAACTCAGAGGAAGCAACCACCTGCCCCAAGAATGAGGACAATGTGTTCTGCCAAGGATTCCTTGAGCCCCTCCAGGCAGCTCTGGTGGTTTGAACTGACCCAAGGCCCCAGGGGGAGGCCTGATAAAGCCAGTGACTATTCCAGGGACTCAGAAGGTGGGCCACTGTGGGCTAGAGTCCTTCTGGGGCAAGCCAGCATCACAGGACTGGGGTTTGGGAACCGATGGGAGGGAGGAGGCTGTCTTTCTGGTCCTTTCTTGAGAAAGTCACCTCTTATTTCTGTGTCCCAGACCCCCAACTGTAAAATGGGGAGTCAGCCTGGCTGACTTCTGAGGGTTTTCCAAACTCTGTGTTTTCCTGGAAAGAGGGGAGTGGGGATGTGAAGTGGGGGCTCTAGGAAGAGGGTAGTGTTCCTGGTTTCTCCTTCGCAGCAAGGAAATCGAGCAATCTCGAGAGTTACACAATTCCCATCGAAACCCAAACCAAAACCATCCCAATGTCCATCCCCACTCTGGGTCTTCTCCAGGCTCCTTCCTTGTCCATTCAGAATCACTATCCTCGAGCTTTTCTCTTCAAAGTGCTCTCAGCAGAGGTTAAGGGAGCTTCAGGGGTTATCCAGTCCTCCCATGAACTCCCAAAGGCAGACAATGCCTGTTTAGCATTTGTGGGCTTTTGGGCTTGGGGGCCACTCTGACCTTCTAGCATCCTGGAGACCAAAGCAAAATAGAATTCCTCCTCACTCTATGATAGAGACAGAGTAGATACCCTCATGTCCTGGTGAATGTTGCACCCCTAGATTGAGCTGTGACACCTCATACCCATCTACCTTCTAGCCCAATTTCTGAAGCATCCAAGACCCCTTAGTAGCAAATCCTAGGTTCTTGGCCCTGGGCTTTAAGACCCTACCTTCATCCTCCAGCCCTTGATCCTACCCAGCCCTGTCACCTGCTCCTCTGCTTACAGCTCTGGTCCTAGCCCTTCAGCTACCAACTGCTGACTGGTGTCCTTGCAAACTTCAGCTAAAGACCTTGACTCAGTGGGGCTGCTCCCTTGGCTCTAGTTCTCACTTATACCAGCTCTTCCTGCTGCTGTCCCTCTAGATGACCTCAGTCTGCAGCCTCCCCCTTTCCACACTTCTTTTATCTGCCTACTCCTGGCCAGACACCTGTCTAACTCCCCACTCATACCCAGATGAGCTGTCCCATCACCTGCCCAGAATCACAACACCACCTCCCCTGCCCACTCACATGTCTCACTGCCATGGTCAGCCAGTCATATCCATGGGCTTGGCCAAAGCATTGCCCTTAGCCCTTAACCCCATCCCCACTTGTCAAGCTCTCCCATTCTCTGCCAGGCTCTACCAAGTCTCCCACCCCTCTTCCCAGCCACAGCCTCCAACTCACGCCAGCCAAGGTCGCCTGCCACCTGGCCCATGTCAGGGCCCAGCCTCTGTGTGCAGCCATCTCCTGGGTGGGGGGTCTTATACTGGGGGCTGTGCCTAGTTTCACTTTCGATCCTGCTTGTACTTTCAGCTTTGTGTTCACTCACTCTTCCCTTGCTAAAATGGGGAAATGTAATTTCCCTTCCCAGAGGGGAGGCATGGGGGTGGCGGGAAGCTGGGGTTCAGCCCATTTGAGCTCCAGAGTCACTGCTGCACTCCCAGGTCCGACCCCTCCCTGGGCTCCCACTTCTTGGCTCTATCCTCTTACACAGCTCTAACTACTGTTCGGTCCCAGAGACCTAACCCCTCGTGCTTCTCTGCTGTTACTAGCATCTGAGGATCACCACAAGTCCACTGTCCTGTGAATGACAGATGGCCAGGTAAGGGGATTGCCCACCAGAGGAGATGTCGGAGGTTGACTCATTCACACCCTCTTTTGGTTTACCAGATGGCTGAGGAGTGTGCGGGAAGTCAGCGCTCCAAGGTGCTGGATGAGTGGGCGGGGAGGCGGCTAGCAGGAACTAGTTTGATGCTCTGAGGGCTGGTAATCAGCCTCTATAACTAAGAATCAGGGCTGGAGGAAACCCATCCCAAGGCTATGGGTGATGGTCAACTCTAGTAAACAATGGCTCAGTCTATGACCAGAATTACATGTGGGATTAGGGCTCACTTCACATCTAGGGTCTGAGCTGAACTCAGTGCCTAGTCTGAGACCAACATGTGTGCTTTCTCTGTGTTTGGGGGCCAGAGCTATCAATGAGCCCTCTGCTTATGGCTGGTCAGTGTTGGACCTAGGGCTTCATCAGAAAAGAGCTGCTATGTAGCCTCTGACAGAGGCTGTGACTCAGGCTTAGGCTGGGATAAGGGCTCAATGACCAGGATCAGGGCTCAGCCTGTGGCCAGGCTGGGGGTTGTATGAGGTCAGATCAGGGCTCAGGCATGGCTCACAGTAATCCCAGTGCTTCTGCACCAGAGACCATACACCACAGGTTCCCTTCCAGCACGGCCCCTCCCTCAGCCACACCCTGGATTTCCCATCTTTAGAGAGAGCATGGGGGTTTCTTGGTCTTCCCCAAGCTCCCACTTTCCTTTTGGGACTTGTGGGGTTTCCCTGATGGGTCCCTGCTGTGAGACAGAAACCAAAGGGGCTTCCCCTTCCTGTGCCCTACCTCATCAGCCTGGCCTGGGCACTGCCCATCCAAGGCTGCCTGAGACATAGTGCCAGGGAAATACCAGCTTCAGCCCTAGGAACTGTTAGAGAGCTATAGGGAAGGGAAAGGAAACCATGCTGGAGCACCTTCCTCAACTTCTGATTAGGGGGTGGCGGGGGGCAGGTGAGGGCAAGAAGGATGATGGCCACAGAGGCCTGGCTAGTCTTCTGCTCTGCCACCCACACTCCATCATCGAGCACAGGATCCTCCCTCAGCTCTCTTCATAGCCCTCCCACCTTGCTTGCACTCTTCCTCATGGTCAGGACCCCCAACCTTCTCCATCTGGCCTTTGCTGCTTCCCCTGACCTTCTATTAGAGGCAGCCTCGTCACTTTATTCATCTCAGCAACTCTGCATCGTGTTTTGCCTCTGTGCAAGTTGTTCCACCTGCCAGAACACCTCAGCCCCTGCTTGGGGTTCCTTCTTCCAGTCTTCCCTGTACCAATTCCTCTTGTGTTTGAGTTTGGCTTCCATGCTGAGACACAAGACTTATCTCGAATGGATCCTTCACAGTTTTCATGTCTTTCTCAATCTGCTCTAGCACGTGTTTCTGCCTCCCAGGCCTCCTTGTTGGTGTTACATCCTTTTTTCTCCAGATGGCTGAATAGTTCACGCTTTTTTTTTTTCTTTTTGAGACAGGGTCTCCCTGCAGCCTCAGCTAGCCTGAAACTCACTATGTAGCCCAGGCGGGCCTTGATCTCACAGAGATCCACCTGCCTCCACCTCCCCAGTGCTGGGATTAAAGGCGAGCGCCACCACGCCTGGCCACACTCTTAAGCTTCCATGTCACTTTCCCAAATGACTCATCTTACCAAATGTAACTTTGTCTGTGGCATTTCCTATCATTTTTCTGTTTTATTATTATTCTGTGTGTATGTATGTATGCATGTGTGTATAAGATGGAGGGCTTGTATGTCAGTGCATGTGTGTAAGTCAGAGGACAACTTTGTGAACTCAGTTCTATTCTTCCACTTCTATAAGGGTTCCAGGGATCCAGTTCAGATCATGAGGCTTGCACAGCAAGGACTTTACTACTAAGCCATCTCACCAGCCCTCCCTACTTTATTTTTGAGCCTTGCCTTCATTTATTTGTTTGTCTTTATTTATTTTATGTATATGAGTGTTTGCCTGCAGGTATATAAGTGCAACGTGTGTATGCAGAGGCCAGAAAAGGGTGTTGGATCCCCTGGAACTGGAGCTAAGGGTGGGTGTTAGCTGCCATGTGGGTATTGGGGACTGAACCCATGTCCTCTGGAAAAGCAGTAAGTGCTCTTAATCACTGAACCAGCTCTCCAGCCCCTTTCTTTCTTTTTTTGGAGACATGGTCTCACTGTGTAGCCCTGGCTGGCCTGGAGCTTGCTATGTAGGCTAGGCTGATCTCGAACTCACAGAGAGCTGCCTGCCTCTGCCTCCCAAGTGCTGGGATCAAAGGCATGTCCCACTACATCCAGATTATCTGTCTATCTTGGTTTTGTGAGACAGGGTCTCATTATGTAGTCCATGCTGGCCTCAAACTCAAGCTTTTCCTGCCTCATTTTCCTCAGTTGCTGTGGCCTACGCTGAAGCCAGTAGGAAATGGATGGGATGTGGTAAGGGGTGAGAACTGGTAGATAGGAAAATAGGAACCTAGGGTGTGGCGTCTAGTGTGTGACTGGCTCTCTGGTGACCTCAGGTGAGTCACTGGCCTGTTCTGGACCTCAGTTTCCTCATTGAAACGTGACAATAATTTTCAAAGACAGCCACTATTACTCTATACAGAAATTAAAACCTGGGCGGTAAAACAAAGGAAACCATCCACCAAGTTTCCAGTTCTTTTCCAAGCCCTGTGGGGCAGTCCAGACTTCGGGGGAACCCTGAGCTTGAGGGCAGCAGTCAGGTGCTCCAGATGTGAATTCGGTGGAGCATGGAAGGAAGTCTTACTGGAGGCACACAGAGAGTAGTGACAGAGTGAAGGCTGGAACTTGGGTCCTGCGTTTCCAACTTGGGCTGCGCAGGGGAAACCCTAGGCTCTGTGATGTCAGAAGCAAGCTCAGAACTAAACCCATGGCACCACCAAGATGACTTGTGGGGAAGGCAGGAAGACCTGGGCCTGAGCCCCACCTTAAGACTTCCAAGCTGGGTGGAGAGCTCCTAGCACAGCTCTCCCTCCCCGGCACAGGAAGGTGGATGAGGCTGTACAGACCACACTCCATTTGGAGGTTTGGTTTTGTTTGTTTTTAAGACAGGATCTTGCCATGTAGCCCAGGCTGGACTGGAACTTGCCATCCTTCTGTTTTAGTCTCCCAGGTTCTGGGGTTATGGGCATGTCTCTCCATATCCAGCTAGGATTCTTTTTGCACTCAGGGCATTGCTACACCTTCAGCCCCACCAGGAAAAAATCGTACAGTGTGCACTCACACATGAGCAATGGACTTCACTGTCTAATCCCCTCCTGCCCACCCTGAGGCTGCCTTTAACCTAATTTCCAACCCAGGAACTATGTAAAAACCCCAACCCTGAGACTGTGTTTTTCTGGGGAAAAACAAATAACAGCCCCTGTTGTCTTAAAACCTCCAAACCATGTCACAGGCACTTACACTGAACTATGGAAATAGCCCTACCTACCCCTACCCTTTCCCAATCTCTCAACCCTTATAAGCAGCCCATCAACTGTGCCTCGGGGCAGTTTCAAATCCTGAGGAGAAACTGTCGGCACCTGCGTTGTTCTTAATAAAGAACAATCTTCGGTGGCTGGAGGGATGGCTCAATGGTTAAGAGCACTGGCTACTCTTCCAGAAGACTGGGGTCGATTTCCAACACCCACATGGTGGCTAACAACTGTAACTCCAGTTCCAGAGGAACTAACGCCCTCTTCTGGTCTCTGTGGGAGGTGCACCTACACACATGCAGGCATACACTCATGCGTATAAAATAAAATAAAAACAAATAAAAATTTTTTGAAAAGCACCATCTTCTCCTGAGGTTGGTCTTTCATTTTCACACCACCCTGGTCAATACTGAGATAACATTTTTCTCAACTGTAACTCCAGTTCCAGAGGAACTAACGCCCTCTTCTGGTCTCTGTGGGAGGTGCACCTACACACATGCAGGCATACACTCATGCGTATAAAATAAAATAAAAACAAATAAAAATTTTTTGAAAAGCACCATCTTCTCCTGAGGTTGGTCTTTCATTTTCACACCACCCTGGTCAATACTGAGATAACATTTTTCTTTCTTTTTTTTTTTTGGTCTTTTGAGACCTGGTTTCCCTGTGGACCCTGGGATGGCTATGTAAACCAGGTTGATACTGATCTGACCCTGGGATGGCTATGTAAACCAGGTTGACACTGATCTGACAGGAACTTAATAACCACATGATTAGAAGAAGCATTTCATTACAGCTTTAGCATATTCAATAACAATTTCCAGAGCAAGGACACATCTCTTTCAAAAGTGGCTATAAATTGTTAGGTTCACAATTGAATTAATACAGTTATACAATATTGAACTCAGTATAGACCCTGTAAGACAAAATTGAATGAGTTTTTAACCTTTAGAAAAGATCTCCATTTCATTTTAAAATATGCTGTTGTAGAATGACTCATTTTTAATGCTACTAACACTTAGATGTTTGCATATGTGTTTCTAATCTCTATGTATCTGATTATTACTAATCACAGTCAGTTATACTTGGATCCTTGGCACCTGAGTATGGATATAAAGTCATTAGGTAGATTTCAATGGTAATGTTTATCACTTCTAATTAACATGAAGTAAATTTTTATGCTTCCTCCTCAAATATGTCATTTTTTAAATTTGTTGATTTTTTTTGTGTGTATATCATACAGAACATCCCAAACAACCTTATTCATCTATACCCCCACTTCCCAAATGGCACCCTCCCAT